CCCCGGGCGGTGGGGACCCGGCGTGGGAGCGTCCGGTGAAGGGGGTGCGGGTGCGGCGGCCCCCGGACATCGTGTCGTCAGGAGCCGGGGTGGCGGCGGGTCGTTGCTCGGCCTGGACTCGGGCCCCGGGAGCGCAGACGGTGTTGGGGTCCCGAAGGCTGGGGGCGGTCTCCGGACCTCCCTCCGCGACTGCAGGTTCTCGAGGACCCAGAGCCCGTGTTCGTGGGGTCGTGTCTGCCGGGGCTGCTCACGTTAGAGATTAAGATGAGCCGCTTTACAAAGACTGACTTGCAAGCAGCACGTTACCGTAAATAACAGACCCCGAAGTCTGAGCAGCCGGGTTGTCAGTCCTTGCGAGTGAAAACAGCGTTCCGTGGAAAAGCAGCTAGTTCAGCTGGCGACTCAAACAAATGCCCCGGGCTCTTCCCGAGCCGCTGCGTTTCGGCCTGTGCACAGGTGCCGCGTCCCTACTTTCCGTTTTGTGGCCGTTCTCCAGGGAGAGATTTAGTACAGTTAATCAGCGTCTCTGCTGCATCAGGGACACCTTAAGTGAATCTGGCTTTACTTTTTCTTCTTTTTGCTCTGAGCGCGTAAGTGTGAGGAACCCAGTGACCACTGGTACAGTCTGGTGCCACTGCCGTGATTCCGGCTCAGGCGCCAGCCGTTGTGTCCACCTTTGATTGTGCACCATCAGGGCGAATGTCAACACAGTGGAAGGACTCGTAACCTCCTAGTCCTAGTGTGAAATGCTTCTGTCTCCCTGTGCCCTGCAGAGGGCTGTGGACCCCTGGCGGCCTGGGAACTCCACCCTGATTCCTCTGAGGACCTTGCTGGGTAGGGGATCAGTAGGAGCAAGGGCTCATTCACAGGAGAACACGGCTTCATTGTAGAGTAAAGGAAGGGGAGAGCGGAAGGGTCTGTTTGCACATTTGGGGCAGGAAGGTGAATCTTCTGGGTAGGAAGGAAACAAGGTGATCTTCCAAGAATATCGAGAGAGAAGTTGGTCTGGAGTTTGGAAAGATCACAGGAAGTTTCAAATAATTTTTTCAGAGAGGAGATAGAGCTGACTAAAGAAATGTAGATTTTAATGATCCAGGTGAGGTTGGCGATGAATTTGTAATTACGGCTTTCTGTTGAAAGCTAGGAATGATTTTCCTGACTGCTTTGATTATGTCATTGGTTAGATAATCAGATGGAAGTGGCCTTGCAGACCACTTAGCTCCCCAGCCCCCATTCTGTAAATGAAGAAGTTGGGGGGCTTCCCCAGGTCATAGAGCTGACTCTGACCACACTGGGGCTGAGGAGTCGAATGCCACATCAGGCCTCCTGGGAGACAGTCCATGAAATGCAGGGTGTCTGGACTTAAGGAAGGCAAAACGATAAGATGGATTTGAAAATGGCGTGGTTGGGTGGATTCCAGAGCACTTCCCAGAGTGTTGAGGAATTTTCCTCTGGAGGAGGGAGTTCCTTGTCACTGGAGAAGTTCTTTCTGGAACTGAATGCCTCCTTCTGGGGTGATATGGGGGGACTGCTGCGTCATGTCGATCTTTGATGCCCTGATGACTCTGAGTTTGGTGCTTGTATAGTAGAAAACAGGACTTCAAGTTCTTGGGATTGTGCATTAGAATTTAGGGTGGAGGGGACACCTCAAGTTTCATTTGGTTTCCTCTCTGTATTTGTAAGGATGATGTGTCTACAACTGAACAAGTGGTTCATGTCTGTACAGTTAGGTTCCTGGCAGGAAACAGATGGTACATTCAGAATAGGTACTTTGGGGAGAATCTTTTAAAAGGTACTGTTTATAAAGGAATGGCCAGAATTTCAGGAAACCACCGAAGGGCAGCACAGTGTCCCAGCATTCGGGGTGTCTGGGAGCCATCACCTCCTAGGCTTGAAGTGGGGACGTGAGGGAGTGGTCACTAGAAGTTGACAGGGTAGCTTTATGAGGAGCGCTGGCTGCTGAAAGCTGTGGCCTTGATAAGCAGCCTCCAGCAACCGCTGGTGGTCTGGCAGGGAGAGAGCCCAGGAGGGAGCCCTGACCACACTTTCTTTTAACCTCCCGGTGTCTTGCTGCTGCCTGCCACTGGCTGGAGCAAGCAGAAGCCAGAGGGCAAGGAAGCCCTTTGATGCAGTCCCCATGGTCAGCCTCTGGGAGCCCAGAGCTGGATGGAGAACAACAGAGGGTAGATTGAAAGGGCAGCTGGGGGACACACACACACAGTGACTGCCAGCGCTTGGGCCATGGTGACCTGTGTCCTAGTCCACTTTTCCTTCCCTGACTCTATCACTTTTACCTTATTCTTTGGTCAGGACACAATCAAAAACTGCCGTATTCTTCAGAGAATTATGTGACTAGCCATAATGTGGAGTTTACTGTTCACATTACTCGGCTTCCATGTTTTAAAATAACCCAAGTTTTGTACAGTAGCAAACACTTAGGTTCTGGGCTAACTCTGGCACGTACTAGCTAGGGTGGTTTAGGGCATGTCTGTTTTCACATAAAATGGTCACATAAGCCTTGTGGTAAATAAGGTTTGAGAAAGCTGTAGACACTCTGAAGCACACACACATGTTCTGCATGTCATAGAGTGACGATTGCCTTGAAGACGAGGGTCTCACCTTTATGTTCTGGTTCCCGGCGTGAGTGCATCTCTATCCACGTGGGGCAGGCGGGGGTCCAGATCGGCAATGCCTGCTGGGAACTGTACTGCCTTGAACATGGAATTCAGCCCGATGGTCAGATGCCAAGTGACAAAACCATTGGCGGTGGTGATGACTCGTTCAACACTTTCTTCAGCGAGACTGGGGCTGGCAAGCATGTGCCCAGAGCAGTGTTTGTGGACCTGGAGCCCACCGTGGTTGGTAGGTACTTGGGCATTCAGGGCGGCTGTCCTGGGATGGTGGGAGAGCCTCGCTGAAGCCCCACGTGTGCTCCTTTGAATCCTCTGCAGAAAGGTCGGACATACAAGCATATGCCCTTGGCCACGTTAGGTGAGAAACTGGAAGGTTAGTGCCTGAAATATCTGTGGGACTCAGGCTACCGTAAGGTTGGCCAGCAGGACGATGGGCTGGGAATAGATTCACTTGTGGCCACCTCAGCCACGGTCAGGTGGTTGTGTAGACCCTGTCTACAGGGTGTCTGGGCACTGGTCCCTCCTTAATGCTGTGCACTCTCTCAGGCTGGTGCACGAGTCTTGACCTGCATCTTAGACATAGAAAGATAAGTACAGAACATTCGTTGGGTTCCTCCAGATTAGGAGTCTGAGGTAGTTTCCAAGGAGAGCTGCAAAGAGAGCACCTTTCAGTGGCTACCCGGGAGATGACAGAATGTCACCCTAAAGACTATGAGACCCAGGCCACATAGGGTGCCCTGATGGGACAGCCCAGCAAAAGTCACTCTGACCTGATGACCGTCTAGTATGTAAGGAGGTTTTAAATTACACCCTTGGCTGTAGCTACGGGTATGAAAAAACATGCACATGTAGAATTGCCTCTGTGCGGGTGTGAGGGCTCTACTCCCTTCCTTGGGAACCGGTTACGCTGGCATTTGTACCACGAGCTGACTCTTCTCTCATAGAGCCATAGGTTGCAGTTCTAGTCTGTCACACAGAGACATTTCCTAGGAGACACGGATGCTGTTGACCTACAAGGAACAGCATGTGCTTGGGAGAATGGAACAGTCCTGAATCTGTCCACCCTGGTGAGTTAACAATAGGCCTTAAAGTCTCGCGGCCCCTGTGTCCTCTGTAGATGAAGTGCGCACAGGGACCTACAGGCAGCTCTTCCACCCGGAGCAGCTGATCACCGGGAAGGAAGACGCAGCCAATAATTACGCCAGAGGCCACTACACCATCGGCAAGGAAATCGTTGACCTGGTCCTGGACCGCATCCGCAAACTGGTAAGAGGAGTGCCAAGAAGGCTTCCGGTAGACGTTGTCCTGGATGGGAGGGTAGGCCTTGGATTGCGACCAGGAGGAC